GTCCTGTCCTGGTCCAGTCACTAACATGATATAGCCAACAGTCCTGTCCTGGTCTAGTCACTAACATGATATAGCCAACAGTTCTGTCCTGGTCTAGTCACTAACATGATATACCCAACAGTTCTGTCCTGGTCTAGTCACTAACATGATATACCCAACAGTTCTGCCCTGGTCTAGTCACTAACATGATATACCCAACAGTTCTGTCCTGGTCTAGTCACTAACATGATATACCCAACAGTTCTGTCCTGGTCTAGTCACTAACATGATATAGCCAACAGTCCTGTCCTGGTCTAGTCACTAACATGATATAGCCAACAGTCCTGTCCTGGCCCAGTCACTAACATGATATAGCCAACAGTCCTGTCCTGGTCTAGACACTAACATGATATACCTAACAGTCCTGTCCTGGTCTAGTCACTAACATGATATACCCAACAGTTCTGTCCTGGTCTAGTCACTAACATGATATACCCAACAGTTCTGTCCTGGTCTAGTCACTAACATGATATACCCAACAGTTCTGCCCTGGTCTAGTCACTAACATGATATACCCAACAGTTCTGTCCTGGTCTAGTCACTAACATGATATACCCAACAGTTCTGTCCTGGTCTAGTCACTAACATGATATAGCCAACAGTCCTGTCCTGGTCTAGTCACTAACATGATATAGCCAACAGTCCTGTCCTGGCCCAGTCACTAACATGATATAGCCAACAGTCCTGTCCTGGTCTAGACACTAACATGATATACCTAACAGTCCTGTCCTGGTCTAGTCACTAACATGATATACCCAACAGTTCTGTCCTGGTCTAGACACTAACATGATATGGCCAACAGTTCTGTCCTGGTCTAGTCACTAACATGATATAGCCAACAGTCCTGTCCTGGTCTAGTCACTAACATGATATACCTAAATGTCCTGTCCTGGTCTAGACACTAACATGATATAGCCAACAGTTCTGTCCTGGTCTAGTCACTAACATGATATACCCAACAGTTCTGTCCTTGTCTAGTCACTAACATGATATAGCCAACAGTCCTGTCCTGGTCTAGTCACTAACATGATATAGCCAACAGTCCTGTCCTGGCCCAGTCACTAACATGATATAGCCAACAGTCCTGTCCTGGTCTAGACACTAACATGATATACCTAACAGTCCTGTCCTGGTCTAGTCACTAACATGATATAGCCAACAGTTCTGTCCTGGTCTAGACACTAACATGATATAGCCAACAGTTCTGTCCTGGTCTAGTCACTAACATGATATAGCCAACAGTCCTGTCCTGGTCTAGTCACTAACATGATATACCTAACAGTCCTGTCCTGGTCTAGACACTAACATGATATAGCCAACAGTTCTGTCCTGGTCTAGTCACTAACATGATATAGCCAACAGTTCTGTCCTGGTCTAGTCACTAACATGATATAGCCAACAGTCCTGTCCTGGTCTAGTCACTAACATGATATAGCCAACAGTCCTGTCCTGGTCTAGTCACTAACATGATATAGCCAACAGTCCTGTCCTGGTCTAGTCACTAACATGATATAGCCAACAGTCCTGTCCTGGTAAGGATTAAACTAAGGCGATATCCAAGGTTTGCATTCACACATTGTCACGTCGTCAGAATTGTAGATGCAGTTCACATTCTTGTGTTCATTATACCACGTGGCAGAACGTCAAGCCAACTGCAGCCCCCAGGATAGTCTCTCGATCCCATCACCCCTTACTTCTCCCAAGTGTAGAGTTCATCAGGGTAGACTTTCTATCACCTCATCCTTTTACTCTCAGAAGTGCAGAGTTTATCACGGTAGTGACTGGTGTAACCGCTAGGAGGGGAAAAAAAGGGGGGAGGGGGGAAGGTAACCTAAGTATAGCTTTCTGTGAGGTTGAACGGAGTGTTTGGGGTTTTCCTTGGTGGACTGGATGCAAAATTGTTGTCTGTCTGTAGGAATGTCAAAACTTCAGTGCAGCGAGAGGCAAACAAATAAGATTTTCAAGCAGTCGGTCAGTCAGGCAGTCGTTCAGTCAGGCAGCCAGTCAGTCAGTCAGGCAGCCAGTCAGTCAGTCAGACAGCCAGTCAGTCAGTCAGACAACCAGTCAGTCGGTCAGTCAGTCAGACAGCCAGTCAGTCAGTCAGTCAGACAGCCAGTCAGTCAGACAGCCGGTCAGCCAGTCAGACAGCCAGTCAGTCAGTAAGTCAGACAGCCAGCCAGTCAGTCAGTCGGACAGCCGGTCAGTCAGTCAGACAGTCAGTCAGACAGCCAGTCAGTCAGTCAGTCAGACAGCCAGTCAGTCAGTCAGTCAGACAGCCGGTCAGTCAGTCAGACAGCCAGTCAGTCAGTCAGACAGTCAGTCAGTCAGTCAGACAGCCAGTCAGTCAGTCAGACAGCCAGTCAGTCAGTCAGACAGCCAGTCAGTCAGTCAGACAGCCAGTCAGTCAGTCAGTCAGTCAGACAGCCAGTCAGTCAGTCAGTCAGTCAGTCAGTCAGACAGCCAGTCAGTCAGTCAGACAGCCAGTCAGTCAGTAAGTCAGACAGCCAGTCAGTCAGTAAGTCAGCCAGTCAGTCAGTCAGACAGCCGGTCAGTCAGACAGCCGGTCAGTCAGTCAGACAGCCGGTCAGTAAGTCAGACAGCCAGTCAGTCAGACAGCCGGTCAGTCAGACAGTCAGTCAGTCAGGCAGCCCGTCAGTCAGTCAGTCAGCCGGTCAGTAAGTCAGACAGCCGTTCAGTCAGGCAGCCAGTCAGTCAGTTAGACAGCCGTTCAGTCAGGCAGCCAGTCAGTCAGTCAGACAGCCGTTCAGTCAGGCAGCCAGTCAATCAGTCAGACAGCCGTACAGTCAGGCAGCCAGTCAGTCAGTCAGACAGCCGTTCAGTCAGGCAGCCAGTCAGTCAGTCAGACAGCCGGTCAGTCAGGCAGCCAGCCTTGGACTCCTATCAGCGTCCCCCTAAACTTTAATTCCATGCCTAAGCTGTCTCAAATGTAGAGAAGCCAACTCGTGCTAGTTGACTCGACCTCTCATTGAACGAACTATGCCTTTCATTATTGTTGGTTTCTAACTACTGTAAGGAAGGGGAATTCTTCTTTTTCTCTAGCTCTGTTCTGTTTATCAGCGTGAGATTTTCTAAGAGGCAATTGGTGCAACCATTGGCATGTGCTAGATTAAAGCTGCTATGTTCCATCTATCCATCGCTTGTGTGGTCCACCACTAGTTCTGCTGACATTGTGTTATGTTATCACAGTGTCGACGGGATCAGGAGTCACAGCTGTCACAGTGTGGACGGGATCAGGAATCACAACTGTCACAGTGTGGACGGGATCAGGAGTCACAACTGTCACAGTGTGGACGGGGTCAGGAATAACAGCTGTCACAGTGTGGACGGGATCAGGAGTCACAACTGTCACAGTGTGGACGGGCTCAGGAGTCACAGCTGTCACAGTGTGGACGGGATCAGGAGTCACAGCTGTCACAGTGTGGACGGGCTCAGGAGTCACAGCTGTCACAGTGTGGAAGGGATCAGGAGTCACAACTGTCACAGTGTGGACGGGATCAGGAATCACAACTGTCACAGTGTGGACGGGCTCAGGAGTCACAGCTGTCACAGTGTGGACGGGATCAGGAGTCACAGCTGTCACAGTGTGGACGGGCTCAGGAGTCACAGCTGTCACAGTGTGGACGGGATCAGGAGTCACAGCTGTCACAGTGTGGACGGGCTCAGGAGTCACAGCTGTCACAGTGTGGACAGGATCAGGAGTCACAGCTGTCACAGTGTGGACGGGATCAGGTGTCACAGCTGTCACAGTGTGAACTGGGTCGGGACGCCGAACTAATGCCGTCACAGTGTGAACTGGGACCTCACAACTAACAAGGTCACAGCAAAGAAACATGATCTCAAATATTTACTTTAATAGTTTACAGTCCTTTACAGATGGAGCAGGCGATTTATTTTGTGGAGGCAAGGCTTCAGGCCCCAACAACAAATCTCTATGTATTATCTTCATCAGATGAACTCACTGGCAACGAATCTCCTTTTTTAACACAGAAAGTTGCTGGGTGCGCCACGAGGCTGCACGCATTCCCTGATTGTCTACAACAGACCGGACATATTTGTCATAAACAACCATTACCCAACCCCGTAGTAAAGGGTTCAGCTATAGAAGTAAGAGCACTGTGACTTAAAAATGTGGGCCAGGGAGAGCAGCTTAAGGGGTTTTACTTTACTGGGTAAAGTAGAGATAAGGACGACTAACGTAGAGAGAAGGACTGGTAAAGTAAAGAGAAGGACGGCTAAAGTAGAGAGAAGGACGACTAAAGTAGAGAGAATGACGGCTATAGTAGAGAAAAGGACGGCTAAAGTAGAGAGAAGGACGGCTAAAGTAGAGAGAAGGACGGCTAAAGTAGAGAGATAGGACGGCTAAAGTAGAGAGAATGACGGCTAAAGTAGAGAGATAGGACGGCTAAAGTAGAGAGAATGACGGCTAAAGTAGAGAGATAGGACGGCTAAAATAGAGAGATAGGACGGCTAAAGTAGAGAGATAGGACGGCTAAAGTAGAGAGATAGGACGGCTAAAGTAGAGAGATAGGACGGCTAAAGTAGAGAGATAGGACGGCTAAAGTAGAGAGAAGGACGACTAAAGTAGAGAGAAGGACGGCTAAAGTAGAGAGAAGGACGACTAAAGTAGAGAGATAGGACGGCTAAAGTAGAGAGATAGGACGGCTAAAGTAGAGAGATAGGACGGCTAAAGTAGAGAGATAAGACGGCTAAAGTAGAGAGAAGGACGGCTAAAGTAGAGAGATAGGACGGCTAAAGTAGAGAGAAGGACGGCTAAAGTAGAGAGATAGGACGGCTAAAGTAGAGAGAAGGACGGCTAAAGTGGAGAGAAGGACGGCTAAAGTGGAGAGAAGGACGGCTAAAGTAGAGAGATAGGACGGCTAAAGTGGAGAGAAGAACGGCTAAAGTAGAGAGATAGGACGGCTAAGTGGAGAGAAGGACGG